GAAATATCACAAAGTTATTTTAAGGTGTATGGTGCTTACATTGAATGGAAAAAAACAGTTTATAGACTCTGTTTTGGTTTTCTTTGTCTTCCCAGTGAAAACTACCTGCAGTTCAAAGGTAACGCTCCACCTCCTCGCTTGGCCTCAGTTCTTGCTTTCATTCTTGAAGTACTTCAGAGAACCCAGAGCACTGAACTATGTGACATTGACTTAGTTCTCCCGGCCGTGTTGAAATGCATGGTGTTGGTTAATGAGTTACAAGGTAAGCTGCTTGTTTGCTTTAAATACATCTCCACACACCTGTAACGTTTTTGTACTGCTCAGCATCTTTCATCCCAATATCAGAGACTCTTAGATGAGGTGAATGAGATACTTTGGCCGGATAAACTGGGCAGGCTTTCTTTTTTCATTAATTGGTCTGTCTCCAAAAGGCAGAGAAGTCCTGTCTTGTTTTGCTCTCTAATGAACTAATGATCAACTTCTCAGGAACCTGAAGAGCATTTCCTTTTTCCCCATCCTTCTAAACCCGTCTCATTTCTCCCAGACTTGGTAACTGTGGAAGTTTTCTTGCATGTAAAGATTTGAGACCAAATAAGACTAGCGTACGTTCTCCCAGTAGAGGCATTATAAATGGGTTAAAAGTAGCATGTTGCTCTCTGAAGGCATCTTTGAGTCTTCTTTCTTCTTTTAGCGTGCTTTGTTTGGTAATGAGAACTTCTTTATTTTTAGCTTCTTAAAAAAATGAAGCACTCTGTACACCCCACAGTTGTATAATGAATGTGCACGTGTGCACAAGCTCAAAATTTCCACTTCTGCCAAAGTGGGAGCGTTAAGCAAACTGGGGATTCACCTCTGACTTCTCCTGGGAATTTTGTCTAATAAAGTACTTTTTGATTCTGGCCTATAAAAGTTTCAAGGACGAGACATGTTTAGGAAATTAGCTGAATCATCACACACCTTTCTTCCCCCTTTTGCCGTCATAGCCATATCTGCCTGAAGCTGATAGCACCTACTTTGCAATGTGCCGTGGAGTAGAATGAGCTGAACATCTTGTGCTGCTGCAGCCACCCTCTCGCTGCCTGCCTAGGCAGGGCTCCACCACACTCTTGTAGAAAAGTCCTTGCAACCCAGTTCCACCTTTGTAAAGGAAGAGCTGTATCTTGCAATTTGAATATTTATTTGGAAACAATTAGGGAGAAGAAAATAGTGGGGTTTTGTGTTGTGGGTTTTTTTTTCTCCTTAAAAAAAGAGGCAGGATGGAATTCAGAACAATACTTATCATTGAAAGTAAGGAGTAGATCTATATAGCTTTTGGCAGGATATAATCCCATGACCACTTTTCTTTAATTCAAATAGGAATGATTAAAGAATACAAGCAGAACTTGCATTTAAATAAAATTCTCTATTTTATTTAAGTGTGTGTCTCTTTGCTTTGGCTTAAAGAGACCATAGTGTACTTAAAAACTGTATGTTTAAAGGATAATGGTGGTGAAAATACGACTTTTGCATAAATCTATGATTCATTTTGTTCTTTATAATGAATCTAACTGACTGCTTTCACAGTCATTTCCTGTGCATCAAAGTAAGATAAAACCTTTTTTTTTCTCATTTAAAAATTGTAGTCTTCATGAAAGACATTCTCCAGATGGTCAGTTCAAGAGCTCTGTGTGAATCTTGTGATTTTTCTTCTACAGTTAAAAAAATATCTACAGACATTGTACAGTACGTGGTAGAAGGCTGCCAAGCAGGGTCAGGAGGAGAACGTGCCACCCAGCTGACTTCTGTATTTAGGTAACCAGAAAATATGCCAACTGGCAGTGAAGCTACTGCAAGCCAATTGACAGCAAACATGTTTTTTTAAAATAACTAATTATCCTTAACATACTGCATTGTCATTTGTTTATGGTATTTAAATAATGGTGCTTTTGGCACGGGTTTTAAACACAGCTTGGCCAAAAAGCCAGAGAAAAAAAGCAGAGGAGAGAAACATACCTTCTTTCTGATGAATTAGGTACTGGTTTGAAAGGTATATAATAGAGAGGTGTGTTGCTGCCGCAATGGGAAAACTTCTCATGAATGGGGATGGTCAGTGTTAGGTGCTGTGAAAGATGTGCATGCCTAATTTGGAGATCAAATCCTCATACAACAAGCTTAGCTTTTTTTATTTTTTAATTGAATTGATTGATTTGATTTGATTTTGGGACAAATAAATAACAGATTATTGTAACATAAACTATACTTATTCCATACCTCTGCAAAGTGAATCCAGTTTCTTCTATGGATACAGTAGAAGAGCTGCATGACCTGAGACCTAAAGACATTTTGCAAACCTAAGCACTGGTGCTGCACTGGGTCATGCCTAGATGAAAGCTCAAGAGAGACTCACTGAAATAAGAATGGATGTTTGTGGGCTGCCAATCTCCCTCTACGTGATACATCACTTCCATGGGGTGTTTCATGTTTAGGGTAATTCTTCTCATTCAAATGTAATCTGTGATCTTTAAAGAGCTCAAACTCTCAGGAAGACAAACAAGTGCACTTCCATACAGTGGTCTGCCCTGCTTAAGATCCAGTGGAGCTTTATAAGAAATGCTAACGTTATTTCCACAGGCTTGAATCTAGGTATCTTGGTTTGCTGGGGTGTTTTTTTGTTTGTTTGTTTTTTTAATATATATTTTAGTTTTGCATTCAGACAGACGTTTTACCAAAGTAAAGTGCTCTGGAACAAGTCAGACCTGGTGAAACAGCGGCAGAATCTGACAATTTGCTTGAAAATAAATGTGGGATTTTTAGCATTAGCCTTCAAAAGCATAGCTTGGTTTAGAGAAAGTATTCCATGTAGAGTATTTCAGTATAACAATATGAAAATTGCCATGCAGCCAGATTGCTTGTTCTGATTAGACTCTTCAGTTGTTCTTGGCATGTTCTCTGCATCTAGTTTTGACCTTGCATTAAATGCCTCTGTGTCCCCCTCAGGCAGTTTATCCAGGACTATACCGCCGTCTATGATCACCGGGTTTTCAGCATACTAGAAACAGTGGCAGTCTTGGATCAGACGTTCGTTACCAGCCTGATTCCCACAATTACACAGTCTCTGAAGGATTCAGAGCACAAACAAGGTCTTGGAAGAAATGCTGCACAGAGGTTTGATTTTTATTTAATATTGGTTTTTGACAATAAGCAGAAGTAGTTTATTCTCTTGAAAGAAGGCAATGTTAGGCAGCAGCGCAGGTACTCAAAAATGAGTGATTTTTTTTTTTTTAAGTGTGTTGAGCCAGAAATCTCCCTTCACTCAGGCCTTTCATGGTTTTACACTATCTAAATATTTTCAGAGATGTTTTGACAGTAGGGCTACAGACCCCAGCAGAACTCATGCAAGGCCAGGTTGCCTCTGCTCACTGCACTGCATGTTGCAAAACAGAAAAAAGAATAATTCCTACCCTGAATAATTTTCCTGTCAGTCCTTGTTTTAGAGGACTTTATGGGTCATACCTAAAATTGCAATATAATGATGTATGATCCGAGATGCTTGGAAAAGAAATACCCATGGGTTAATTTCAAGAGTTCTTTTATAATAGAAACATCGGAGAGTTTTGATGTCCAGAAAAGGCTGACCTCCCCTCTCCGATAGGCAGAGCAGACTCACACTTCCTCCGTCTGGCCCCTAAGAACTCAGGACAGAGATACCTGACTTGTGACTCCATCTAGCATTAGGAGGAAATGGCACATGAGGTGAACATCTCTGCACAGATGACGGTGTCTCTGGGTGCAGATGCAGCACTGAACTTTCAGCACCCATATAAATGCTGTTACAAAACGCTAGGAAGCTCTGCCCAGTGTAGGACCTGAGCCCAAAGGGCTCCTCCTGTGAGCTCTGCTCACTGGAACGCTGGACCTTGACCATCGTGTGGGTCTGGGCCAGGAACTGGCCTTGGCGTTTGCTTTAATGCACATACTGGGACTACTCAGAGGCCAGGATCCTACTCACGCCTCAGGCTGGAGAAGTTTTGAGGTGCATGTCGGCATGGCCTGGGCTATAAAAAAACCTGAGAGACAGAGTCATGCAAGAATGTAACTCTTGAGTCAGTAAAAGGTAGTCCAAGGGTATTACTTTTCCATTTAACGAAAAATATATTTAATTCATTTGTAATTATAATTAAATATATAATTAAATATAAATGTAATTAATTTGTAATTAATTACTCTAACAACAAATACATTTGCTTTTATTTAAAGGAATTCACCCAAGGTCATACTAAAGTACCATTTTGTGCAGGATTTTCATATCACCTGCATTTGATCTTTTGACAATGTACTTCATAGCCAACTTTCACTTTTTTTTTTTACACTGCTAATAAGGTAAAAGGCATCCCTTTACCTAGAAAATACAGAAAAAAAAGCAGGTTGGTTGAGTTTCCTGAAATATATGCTTGGAAATTTCTGAAGAGCTAAATTTCTTTTAGCTTCATTGCTTAACATATGTATTATCTAACCTGTTGTTGATATTTTGTATTAATAATTTGTATTTAGAATGTGCTCTATTACCCAGCAGTCTAAGGCAATCCATGAACATTTTATTGTAAGAATACTAATAACTGATTTTCTCTCTTCAGTCCCGGCCACTAAATAACATTATATTAACATATTCTGTGCAATTATTGTAGACATTAAAGCGTAAACCCATATATATAAAAGAAACAAAGTTCAGAAGTTGCATTAGATGCTTATAGCGGTGATGTCCAACATTTTTATTGCAAGGAATTAGTATGAAAACTGCAGTTTTGTTTGCTCAAGTTAGTATTTCATGAAAAAGATATATAATTAGAATAGACCTAAATGTCAGAGGCAATACTTTAATAGTAATTATATTGTCTAGGTTGGAGAGTATTAGAATGAACTTGAGGTGAAAAGTCTCGTCAACACACATGAACTCTTCTGGAAAATGCACTTGAATGACAGTCCTCTTCTGAATTTCAGGTTTATTTTAAAACAGTCATTGCCCTTTGTTGAGGATGATGGGCTGAATCTATGTCTGTGCCAGTCTGCACTCCAGTGCCAGTGGCTCACATCACTGTGCTGTAGCATGAGTCACAGAGAGATTTCTTATGCAGAAATTGGATAGCAAACATGATGAAGTCAGAATGTCAATTTCATCTAAACCTTGGAAACTCCATGTTTTAAAATTAAAAAAAAAAACATATTTCACAATGTTTTACTAAACAACTAGACTTGTAAGCATCTTCGCTACACTTGTAGCCATAAACAATGAATCCTTACTCTTCTTCCAACCTGGCCAAGCTAAAAATTCACAGCAAACAAAGCAGATGAATAGATTGGGGGAGGGGGATGATGGGGAAGATAAGTTACTGTGTTTTAATATCCCGATATGTAAACAATGGATTTGGGAATCATGTGCTCTTATTGCTAGGATGTGTGAGATTGTTTAAGTAACATGTTACATTCTTTTGGTTTTTTCAACAGAGAAGCCTATAAAAGACTCTTATCTTACCTCACAGAGGCTGGACAAAATGAGATACAAAAACTGGAAAATGAGACAGATTAGCAGCGTGCTGGTGATTAATTGTTTCCTCTTGAATGGTCTGACACTGTCAATACCTGAAACTACACTCAACGACACACTAGCAAAGTTCTTTTTCTTTACAATGGCAATATGATTATCAATTTTGTGTTGTTCCCCCTGCCCCAAGTTATGTATTAATTAATAATTTCTGTGGTATTTGAATATCGTCATGCATCTGAAGAGTAACTCCCAATATACTGTTGAATGGCGATTGAAAGATGCAGCAAATTTATTACGTGTTAAAACATCTGTATGAGCAGAGCCTGTATTGCCACATACGAGGTAGGATTTCAAAGAATCAAAGTAATTTCACAACTCAATTCACACTGAGTGAGACCTGACCCTCTTAACACTGTACTTTTGAAAATCTTGTTCAGTATGTTCTGAAGCAAATAATAACTTTGTAATTTTTAAGTTATCATTTTAGTAGAATGAGAAAAAATCGTGCTCTCTAGTACTGAACTTGTTGAATGCAGTGCATTCACCAGGAGTTGTGCCAGTATCTGCACCAGAGCTATTGTTTGGTAAGAGAGGGCTTTTGTATATGTTGCACAAAATGTATATAGCTGTCTTAACCTTCCACCTGTGTTAAAACATTAAAGACTTTCAGATTCCAGTGTAAAATCTCTTCTGTTGTCTTTGTGGATAACATAAGAAAAGGTAGGTTCAGGTTTCTTGTCCTCTTCCTTTTCAATACTATGTTCTCAAAATTAACCCATAATTTCCAGTGATCCCATGATCTTTTTGTTAGTCATGACACTGTTAATTATCCCGTTAACTTAGACTAGGTCTAAATGGTGTGAGAAAAAAGCAGCGAGGACAGAATTCTAAAGAAAATACTCATTGGGGGAACTTACTCCATTTGATCATTGGCTAGTAATTATTCCTGTTTGCCTAGAAAGTTGGATCTTTCAAATATTTTGTTGTGACTTGGATTATCTTTTGAGTCTTTCCAGGACAGGTCTAGCTCTGTAACTTTTTCTACATTTTTTTCTAAAGTTCACAGGAAACTTTCATTAATTCCCGTGGTATTCACATTCTGCACTTCCCTCAATAACCTGTATTTCTGCAACTACTTACTGGACTTTGGGAGTGGCAAGCTTGCCCCTAATGGCAACACTGGTGAACAGGCTGCTTAAAGTTATTCAAATTTTAATTTTGATATTAATGGGAAGGAAAGATTATTTTTGTGGCTAACTACTCCACAAAAATCTCTCAAATCTTGTTCAGAGCAGCCTCTCTTTTGTTACAGTAATCTTAACCAAGTCAAACTAGATAATCTTTTTGCCTAAATCAGCTATCGTTACTTCAGATAATGCAGTAACTAAAAGCCTCTTTAGGCTACTTAATAGTGCAGAACATGGAGGTTCTTTTCATTATGAAAGTGACTTAATGAACTTGCATTGTAGCTTCTTGTAAGCTTCTGTACCTGGGAGGAGTTTTATCCATCTCAAGGGGATTGTGCTTGTAAAAAGCTTTTTTAAAAAATAAAATAATAATAATAATAAAAAAACCTCCCAAGAAAGAATAATAGAGATGTCTTTGAAATTTGAGTCCTACTGCATAGTAGATTACAGAACAGATGTCTGACTGTAGTATTACTTCCTGAAAGGAAAACCTTTTGACTTTTAAAGGATAGAGCAGGTACTACAACAAAACATTTAATGATGTGTTTAGTGGCTTGTTAAAGACATATTTAATACTATCTGAAGTGGTTGGAAGTTTCTGAAGGAGCAACAGGGCTTTATGTAAATTCGTAGCAGCTCCTGGTGCATGAGAAACTAATTTAAACAGTTTGGAAATTAGCATTCTTCTCTGTCAAAAAGTTAATGCGAACAGAAATAAAGCATTTTGTATCATATTCATCAACCACTGCCAAATGGGCAATCTGGTTTGGTCTAATTATTTGGTATGGACATTTGCAGCTGTGACTGACAGTTCTGATAATATTAATGAGATGAAGGCTTGCAGAGTGCTAGTCAAGCCTGACTTACCAAGTATACACCAAAACAACAGTCCAACACTGGTTAGGAGAAAAGAAGAAAGTGCTGATTTTAAGTGCAATATAGAAAAGGTGAAGACTGAAAACTGCCATGAACTAAAAGAAATTACGTATGATGTCTTATTAGGTGCTGTCTTGTGTAAAGGCTACTCAGGACACTGAACATTATTTAAATTGAACCTGTCTGTATTATTTTGCATATGAACAGTCTGGTTTACAAACAGTACAAATGTCTAGCTTCCTTATACAATGCGTGGTGAACTGCTTAAGCTAAAGAGGAGGAGATCCTGGAAAGCTTTTACACTGGTTACCATCACTGACAGGAGCAGTTCATCTGCATGTAGATGCAAAGTCTGCCTCTTCACTTTGCTTAATAAACAATAGGATAGAGCCTGCTGTAAATCAGATAAAGAGGAGATCTGGAAATAAGACTTCCATCTACTTGTGAGTGGTATCCTTAACCTCTGCCAGAGGAAAGGAACTCGTCTTCTGCCAAGCTGCTGTCCTCTTCTCTCTCCACTGAAGACTCATCCCTGTGGTCCTTTGCGCAAGGCTGAAATTGGTGGGCGTGTGCTGAGGTGTTTGTATGGACCCTGGATGCAGAGTAGGAAAAGCAACTCAGCTGTTAGTTCTGCCAGGGATCAATAACTGGTGACATGGAGCTTGGCTCTACGGCAGCTGAAGATGTCGCCTTAGAGGTTAGCCAGCAGATACTTAAGTGTGCAGTGACTTTGGACAGCAGCCAAGAAGAATTGGTAACTCCCTATTATGAAACTTACTTATACATTTTATACTTACTTATACATCTTGTTGTGGAATAGTTTTCCTGCCAGAGTGTGTGTATAGGCGCTTTGTAAGCATTTTGACTTTGAACCAGAACCAGTAGATGCTTCTGGTATTACCAGCGAGTCATAGAGCAACCACAGAGGCTCACTGAGAGATCATCACCTCTGCATTGTGGGTGTCGGGACAGGCACTTTAAGACATCTGTTTTCAAGGTGGTATAGGGAGAAATCCAGGCAGCATCAGGACAGAAATTCTCTGCAGACTAGAGGGTGAATATGGGTCACGGCCTTGCCCTGCCTTACAGTTTTTTGAGTCTTTGTTTCTCAGAGACAATGGGCAGTGAGTTACCAAAAGATTCCACCAATTCTGGGCAGATGTCTTTCTCTGCTGATCCATTTGCAGGATCACCCATGCTGCACTAAGTGATATAGATCAGATGCCTGTTTTCCCCTTTGTCCCAGGTGAGTATCACAGCAAAGCTATTAAGCAAGGCTTCCATGAGTCTGTGATAAGGTTGATTAGAGGAAAAGGCTTGTGCCTCAAATCTGTGAGGATTTCCAGCAGATGAAGAAAGGTATGTCCCAAGATCGCCTTCCCAGAGATCTATACCAAGCCTTACTCCGTACTTAATAAGACTGATAATTAACGTGAGCTCTGTCATTGACTGAAGAAAGGACTCCAGAAACTGCCATTTGGATGTCACCAAACCCCTGACAGCAGCAGCTGTGTGAATCAGTTTGCTAGTGGGGGCCATGCTTCTGGGGGCATGCCAGACCTTAAAGTAGGTGCTTGCAACAAACGAGCTGAGGATTGTGGATTTGCTTGGGATCAGTGACTCTTGCAAGCAACTGAGCCTGCATGATATCTTGAGAATGCACACACGTGTTCCTTTCACCCAGCATCTGCTTTACAATTTTACAACAACGGGAGGATTTTTGCTTACATTCATTCAGGCTGTTCTAGAAGATAATGGCTATTTCTACCATTTTATGGAAAATATGTTGGTTGAGATTATGCTGTTTGTATCATGTGTGGATGTAGACCTGTGCAGGGGGAGCTTTACCCATTTTGTTGGTCCCGTTTGGATCAATGGCCTGAGTGTGACCTAATCCAACACCAAGCTGAGTGGTGCGGTTGTCACACCTGAGGGACAGGATGCCATCTAGAGGTACCTGGACAAACTCAAGAACTGGGCCCATGTGAACCTCATGGGGTTGAACAAGGCCAAGTGCAAGGTCCTGCACTTGTACTGGGGCAATTCCCGCTATCAATGCAGGCTAGGGAATGAAGGGATTGAGACCAGCCCTGCCAAGAAGCACTTGGGGGTACTGGTGGATGAAAGCTGGATATGAGCTGGCAATGTGCGCTTGCAGCCCAGAAAGCCAACCATATCCTGGGCTGCATCCAAAGAACTGTGGCCAGCAGGTCAAGAGGGATGATTCTGCCCCACTGCTCTGCTCTCGTGAGACCCCACCTGGAGTAGTGTGCAGGTTCAGAGGAGAGCCACAAAGATGATCCAAAAGCTGCAGCACCTCTCCTATGAGCACAGGCTGAGAGAGTTGGGGTTGTTCAGCCTGGAGAAGAGAAGGCTCCAGGGAGACCTTCTAGCAGTCTTCCAGTACCTAAAAAGGGGCCTACAAGAAAGCTGAAGATGGACTTTTTACAAGAGCGTGTAGTGATAGGACAAGGGGCAATGGCTTTAAACTGAAAGAAGGGAGATTTAGACTAGAGAGAAGGAAGAAATTCTTCATTATGTGGGTGCTAAAACACTGGAACAGGTTGCCCAGAGAAGCTGTGGATGCCCCATCCCTAGAAACATTCAAGGCCAGGTTGGATGAGGCTTTGAGGAACCTGCTCTAGTGGAAGCTGTCCCTGCCCAATACAGGGGAATTGGACTAGATGATCTTTAAAGTCCTTTCTAACCCAAACTCTTCTATGATTTACAGACCCCGTTGATGTATTTGTTTATATGTTAAAACATTACCCTTCAAGAACAAGCCATCTTACCACTGGTACTTGGACAGACAGACACCACAGCCATTCTGCTTCGTTTACCCAGCTCATTCAGACTTCTGTGTCGGATCGCAGGCTTGGAGCACCAGCATTGCTAGCTAAGAACCCTAACCAGGTCCTTCCTTCATTCCCTTCTTTTCAGCCAGCACATGCCCACACACGCTGCTGTAGAAAGTGATGA